TCACCTTTGACACCGCCCCCGGGTGCTTTCGCTTTCACCTTTGACACCGCCCCCGGGTGCTTTCGCTTTCACCTTTGACATCGCCCCCGGGTGCTTTCGCTTTCGCCTGCCCCTGGCACCGAGAGGCTCGAACAGACGGAGGGGGCCGTCATCCCACCACACCTGACACCACGGACTGGAACCCTGGGAGGAGAGCAAGGCTTCGGGAAGGTAAAGGCATCCTCCGCTGGGGGATTCTCCATGAGGCAGGCCCCAGACCCAATCCACTGTCTCCAAGGTACCTTTCCCAGACAAGCGCCGGGACTCTCATCCTCCTGCTAGGAAGCAGCCCCACACCCAAGGCATGAAGGTGCAGCCAGTACAAAGGGTGGCAGGGTCCTCAGTGAGTCTTTGCCCAAGAGAAGAGGTTTTAGGAAGACTTAGGAAGCCCTCTGCCCTACTCCCATCCTGTCAGGAAGCTGAAGAGCTACTGCAAAGGTCTTAGCAGAGTGCTCAGTGTGTCCCACAGCCCAGGCAGTCTCCATTTATTGCTGCCGTATTTCCTGGCACAGTTAATGGTCCTTATTCTCTTCCCCTTAGCTCTGAGGAGAGCTGATTGCCCTGAGAAATCAGCACTATGTAAATCTAACAGTGTTTACACGTTAAGCCTTTGCAGTTGGGATTTTTGTATCCCCTGGTAACCTTGGCTTAGGTGAACTTTCCAAGTGACCATGCTCCCACATCAGCACTGCCAGAGCTTTAGCAGCTAGGAGAAGGCTCCCAAAAGCAGAGGAGTGCTTTAAGCTGAATACTAGAAGTTAACTGGGACGTAGGTGCATGACAACTATCTCGTGTGGGGGAAAAAATTAAGTATCTAAATGTGGAAGAACCTAAAGTGTCACGACCAAAAATTGCAGGGTTAGATACTGCAGACTTACACAGTTAAGCATTGAAGTCCTGTATTTTTTCCAAGGAGCTCATTAACTGTGGTTCTGGTTCACTGCTGCACCCCTGCAGAAACTCAGCAAATGTCTTTAATGGTTTTAGGACCTTCTTAGAGCTTGTGATTTAGAAAAGCTTAGACATCAATTAGACATAATTACACTTTAACAACAATAATTTCCCAGGAAGTTAAACAGTCTTAAATGAGACTTCTCGGTAACTTCATCTTCAAAAGGTATGCATTACTTTTCCTTTTTTTTTTCACTGCTTTCCTTTGGAAATAAAAGCTTATCCCCTCACAATTAATATACCAGGATCCCTCCACCTCAGGTTAAAAATGCTGCAGAGATACTAATTTACAAAGTGGCGAAAGCCAAGCCAAGCCCTTGCTGTCACATTCTAGCACAAATATCTACTCTGTCGCCTCATGTTTCTCTCTTTATTACTAGTCTTTATGCTGATAAACAATGAGTTTGAAAGGATACTCCTTTGATAAAATCTACTTTCCTGCTAATGCTAAACAACTGAGTCACCCTCATAAACATATTCATCAGGTCCCTTCTTGGAAATGGGTGGTTCCCCTGTTCTTCATTGAATCAGAAAGAATAAAGCCATGTGTTTTTCTTCCTTGCCATTCTCCTTGGGTGGAAAGGGAGACACCCTCTGGGAAAGAAATTGTTTAAAATGAACTTTGGCAAAACTCATTGCAGTAAATCTCAGGCGAGTTTTGTTCCAGCATCAACTCAACCTTATGACATTGAACAGAGGGAAATGATGAGGAACTGAGTTTAGTATAGATAATCTTGGATGGTTTTCAAACAGCTTCTTGCTTCTTTAGAGAGTTTTATGGCTTATCACTGACAGTAACTGCCCAGAATGGATGGCAGTCTTATTTCCAGCCTATAAAGAGGCAAGTGTATGTGATCAATACCACAAGGAGCACATTTATGCTGTGCTGCAGAGTTTATCTTTTTCCTGTTTAAATAATATTACCCACCCCTGACTAGCTGTTCTGCACAAACTACAATCCTGCTCTTCATCACAGGGGCTGTATGAGCTGGGGAAGGTGGTGTTACCTGTGTTCTTTAAGGGAATTAAAGCCCATTTAACTGAGCAGGAAAGCTATTTGGATCTAAAGATACAGACTCAAGTTCAGCCAACTGAGGAATGATCTTAAGGACAGCCTTAATGAAGAATTAAAGGTCTGGAGCCTGCCAGATTGCAGGGGAAGGACAGGCAAAATAAAGGAGACATATGGGATGAGCAGCTTGCAGGAACAAGGGGCTTTTGTCAGGGAAGGGTGTTGCAGAGACCTTCCCAGGCCAGGAACTACATTGCTAGTGCTGCTGTTAGGTGTCTTCACAAAGGTACTTCTTGCTCAACAGGAATGTTTCACATGCCAGATTCCTAAGCCCCAGGTAGAAATTTCACTAAATCTTCATTATAAGTATTGCAGGTCCCGGTCTTGCTCTCTGGCTGACCAGGACTTTCTTCCACATGGAAGGAAGCACCCCATTCCAGCAGTGTTCACCCCAGCATCCTGTTCAGTTCAACGCCCCACAAGCCTTCATCTTCAGGCTCTGCATGAACTTCCTTCTCTCGTTTATAACTGTTCACATGAGTATTTTTGGAGGAGGAGCTCTGTAGGGAGGAACCAAGGCAAACCAAGACCGTGTTATTTGCTGCCCTGTGCTGGCAGTTCCCACCAAGAGCAGGGCACTGTTGCTTCCTTGACCTCAAGGCTGGGAGGAGGGGACACGTGCCACCCAGGAGGGCTCGCACCGACCATCCTCTTCCCAGGGTATGGCCAAAACTCTGCAGCAGCTTTCTCAGAGTCAGGTTTGAGATAACCACTGTTATTCTGGTCTGTGTTCCCCCGCCATCCCTGGGCACAGCGTAGCTCCATCTGGAGTGGGGCAGAGTCACGCTCTGTGCTGACAGAGTCATGAGATGTGAGACTTCATGGGCTTGGTCTGTCTGGGGGTTCTTTACCACGGTGGAAGAGCATGTGCCATCTGCTTTGTATGCTGCTGTCCTCAGGGGTGCTTGAGCCAGGTCCTCTTGCTCCTGCTTTTTCAAGCAACTTGCTGACTCAAAGCAGTGCTACCACAAAGCCCATCAGATCCTGAGGTGCCAAGTCATTCCCTGGGCAGTGTCCTTAGCAAGCTGGTAGCAGCATCACCTCCATGCCTGAGCTGGGCTTTCCTGGTATAACTTGTAACCAGCACCCACAATAAATGTAGAACATCAGCCTAAACTCTTCAGCAGCACTGTGGTGAGAAAGGTGTGCTCGAGAGCAAGGCACAGCCATGAGTGATGTCCCTCTGCCATTAACTTCCCCCAGCATGTCCTCTTAAAGGAGACACACCAAATTCAGTCTCCTTGTCTACTTCCAAGAAGGCTTCTTGCATCGATTGTTCCTTCCTAAAGATCTCCACCTTCTGGTCACAACTGACAGTGGCAGATGCTTTGATATATTAGATTTGATTCAGGATGTTAATGATTTTATTCCAGCCTATTTTGAGGTTAAACCCCACCTGTTCCACTGGGACCAGTCAGGACCTGATGCAGGAGACTGGGATCAGTTGCAGATGTACACTGAACAGAGTTGGTTTCATTACAGGCCATGGCACAGGAAACAATGCCAGGCGCCTCCCTGGAGGGGAGTCGTCCCACCTACAGGTACAAGGTGGTTCTGCTGGGCAGCATGTCGACGGGGAAGTCAAGCCTGGCCTACCGATATGTGAGAAATGACTTCAGGGAGTTCCTGTCAACCGTGGGCTGTGAGTGAGTGGCTTCAATTGCTTGATGGCTCTGGACAAGAGACCAGGCCTGATGCACTTCCTTGAAGCAGGGTGGGATGGAGAAGAACTGGTTGGTACATCTCATAGTAGCACAGACCCACTTTTGAACATGATACAGACTTGCCCAAGAGCCAGACCTTCCCCTTCACATCTCTGCAGACCATTTGCTCAGCACCAGGCTGTAAAGCAGAGCCACATCCATATCACATGAGTATGGCTTAGTGCTGCTTTTTAGAGGCAGATGAGCAGCAAAATGAGTGAAACCTGGAATTCAAACTGTACAGCCCATCTGCTCTTTGCACGCTTGGTCCTGTGCTGCTCTCCCAGCTATTAAGACACCCCAGGAGGGTCTCATAGAATGGTTTGCATTGGAAGGGACCTTAAAGATAATCTAGTTTCAATCTCCCCTGCCTAGGTCCTACAGCATGTAGACATTATAGATGTTCCTTTTACATGATGTACCTGGCTTTTGCCCTAAGAAGGCACAGCAGGCACAGAGGCTGCAGTCCCGCCTGTACCTGCAGAGCTGGTGGAGGAGAGCAAAGTGCCATGGAACTTCTCCCCATCCCTCTGCTGTGGCTCTGGCTGGTCTACAGGCAGCCATCTGCTCCCTGGGAACAGGGATGGAGGCTCGCCCTGCAGTGTGAGCCCTTTCAGTGGATATTCCTATTCAGAGCTCTCACAGGTCTGACCCACCAGCAAGGTGGTGGTGCCTCTCTGTCTGGGGTCTGTTCTGCAAAGATCAGAACTATCTGGCATCAAACCTGGTGTCCACCCAGGTCTGCTGTCAGGAAGGGCCCCCGGCCTTGCAGCACATCATCCCAGCAACAATACCAGTGATCACGAGAAACCCACCCCAATTTGTGCGTTAGAACATTGTTACCAATCCTTGGGATGGGTTTGACCTCACAGCAGCAGACCTGAGCTATCTCCTGTTACTGCAAGTAAACACGCACCCTGCATCTTGCTTGCAGTTTCCGTCTTCACACACACGCTCAACCTGGAGGCAGCCACCGTCAGGTTGGAGATCTGGGACACGGCAGGCCAGGAGAGGTACGAAAGTGTCTGCTACCTCTACTACCGGAATGCCCACGCTGCTCTCCTTGTTTATGACATTTCTAAGAAGGTAAGACAGGGGATGCTCATTCCATCCATGCTAGAATTATGCCATGCCATGCCATGCCGCAGCACACTGGTGGGGCAGAGATGTCCAGATGATGGTGTTTGTCCTTTGCAGACCAGAAAGCAGTACATGAGCACCACCTGAGAAGGTGAACATTCCACCTGGGACTTGTCAGGGGCTGTCCCTGCCCATGCAGGACCATGCCACCACCTTGGGATAATTGCTGCTGCCACGCAGAAGGGGTGCATCCCATCCAAGGTGGATTTATGCCTGAAGGTGTTTGAGGGCTGGTGACCTGTTTTTCTGAGAGAGGGCAATCACTACCTCCCCACCACACCTCGTCCACCTTTAGTTTGTCTGAGGCAAAGGGATTAAATCAAAACCAGATCACTGAGCAGTTTTGTCTCCATTTCTCCAGGAAACACTCAGGAGAGCAAAGATGTGGCTGGAGGAGCTGGAGGAGAAATTCCGTCCCGATGAAATTGTCATTGCTTTGGTGGGCAACAAAACAGACCTTGCTGCTGAGCGAGAGGTCACCACTGAGGTGAGTGCCCGTGGTTCCCTCATCACCCCCTCACCAGCAAGCACTGGGATATGTCCAAAGAAAGCCAAGAGTTTAAAAGGTTTTCAGACACCTCCAAAGTCTCCGTACAATGATTGACCCACCATAGCCAAAAAAGCAGCCCCAGAAGAGGCTGGGGTAATAACTCTGCTTTGTCTCCATTTAGGAGGGGGCAGAGTTTGCACGGACAAAAGGCCTCCTGTTCATGGAGACATCTGCAAAATTCAACCATCAAGTAAATGATATCTTCATGGCCATAGGTGAGTCATCTGATGGGTCTAGGTGAGAGCAAAAGCAGATGAACCACAGCCCCAAGCCCCTGCAAAGCTGATCCCCTTCACTGCTCCTGCTTGCCACTGAGATCTTCTTCCCAGCCAATCCAGCCTGTGCCACCCCTTAAGGCAGAAGGATGGACACATCCATCTCAGGATACTCCAGCATCAGAGATGGCTTTCAGGCCTTCTCCCAAAACCACAATTTTATTTTGCTTTAGTATCCAACCTGGGTGTAATGGTGTCCCCAGCTTAGCTGTTTGGGGAACTGTGGGATGGTCCTCTGGGGTGGGACAGCGTGGCCACTGCACCCCATACCACCAGCAGGGGAAAAGAGCCCTTTCTTGCTTTATGTTTCCTCCTAGTCGAAGAGCTCCTGCGTCAGGAAAAAGAGAAGCCATCTGCCCCATCCCCACACGGGAGATCAACAATTGACCTGAAGGAGGACACGCCAAAGAGGAAGTGCTGCTGACTCTGAGGACATGCAGCTCTGGACCTCAGCCATGACTGGATGAAGTCTCCACGAGGAGCAGTGACAAAGCAATGGGGACTCAGAAGCGCAGAAGCAGCTCAGCCTGACCACCCTCCCCCTCAAAGAGAGTTCAGAGCCCATCCTGGGTGCACAGGGCCTCTTCAACCCTCTAACACTGTCCTCATCTGAGAGCTAAAGCACAGGGTTTTCTTCCACCAAGCTTCCACTTCCAGAGAAGAGCACAACCTGCCAGCAACACTACCACCAACCCTGACTGGTGACATCCCCCCACCCCAGCTGCTCATCACCTCCTCCATCTCCCTTTCTGTAATAAATTAGCAGTAGTAGTTTAATTTACTCATCAAATTAGTAGTAGTTTACTTATTAAGTTGTATTGCATGTTATATTCTGTTCTTATATATACATATATATTATTACAATCAATGTTCTGTTAAGTTTAGGAGACTGTAAGTTGTAGAATGGTTCATTAATCTGTCAACATTGTAAGCTGATAGTCATGCGGTTTGCAGTCCTTGAGCTGGACAGACAAACTATTGTGCCTTGCTGAATAAGTATTTTAGTATTTTATTTTTCTAAAAGCTTATTGTCTCATAGCACACCTATAAGGTAATGAAGAGAAGGACAAAGATCAAAGGATCCACCAGGAGAACGATACAGAGTATCCAAAGATGGACATCTGGAGATACCTACACACTATAGGCCTCAAGGACTGAGAGCTAATTAAAACTATGGAATGGAAAGCACCTGGCAACTAAAATGAGCCTGCAGGGAAGCCAACCAGAACCAAACCTGCAAACTCAAATCCAATAGAAGAATAACAAGTGATTATAGGAGGGGAACTGAAGAAGGAATAAAAGTTGCTGGTTTTGCTTACTATGTTTGCGTGCCGTGTGTGGAGCAGGAGTCTCCCCGGCCGCCCAGTGCGCTGTTTTGCTTATCTACTTTTTATATAAATCTTCAATAATTTTTTTTATTATTATATTTCAGCCTAGTTTCATTTACATATAACACTTTCCATCTGAAAAGGGATGGTGCAAAGCAGGTGCATTCTGGGGACTTCACACTCAGGCTGCAAATAAAGAGAATATTGCCCTGAAGGTGTGTTATTTTTTCCCTGTCCTGGATGTCAGCCTGCAGGTGGGGAAGCTTAGAGGTGGCAGGGACCAGAGCCAGTGCCCCCTCACCCCATCTAACCCATAGCAGGTCACAGCCCATTCTTGGGAGAAATCATGGATTTATTGCCAACATAAGAGCCAGAATAGGGCCAAACCAAACAAGTGGTGTCCCAGTACCCCGTGCCTTGCAGGGCCTCCCCTTTGCATATTATGAGTTAGATGTGGGAATGCACCTTGACTGGAAAAGGAGAAAAAAAACACCTGTGCTCTCTCCAAAGGCAGCAGCACTCACCTTGTCTGCAGGGCAGTAACCTCTGAGTTTTTGGGGCATGGCCTGACAGCAATGCCAGGCAGCAAACACCCTTGAAGACCTTCCCCATGCAGGGGAGGTTATCTTGCCCCTGAGGACCAACCACCCCAGCACCCCACACCAGGCAAGACACTCACTTGTGGTGCTTCCCCAGGGTTGAGCCATCCCAGAGCAGGACAAGAGCCCATCCTCGGCAAAAAGCTGATTTGCTCCCTCCTCTTGCCTAAATCCCCTTTGTTAAGGCAGCTGGGAGACATTAGGTGCTAATTGGCACTCCTGTACCCCATCTGCTCCCTCCCCTTCCCAAAATTAACCCTTCCCTCCCCAAACCACACTAGACCCTCAGTGCTGGGCCATGACGAGACCAGCAAATTTTGGGGTCACACTCTCCACCCTGCACCCCCCACGTCCCCCTCATGCTGCCTTTTGGAACAGAGAGGCTGGGACACAGGGATGAGAGGAGAAGGGGTTTTATTGTCAGCTTCAGTTCAAGGGTTCCGCTCCTCCCGGGGAGGTTGGGGGGCTGCACAGGCTCGGTGCCAGCCCCCCACGGGGTGGGTGCCCTCGCCCAGGGCTTGCCGCCTCCCAAACCGCCCCACCGGCCTGATCCCGCGTCCCGTGTACCAGGAGGGGTCGATGTCCGGGTCTGCAAGGGAAAAGCCGAGGAACCATCAGGGGATGATGAGGGAGAGGACAGGGCGTTTCACCCATGGGTGGGGGGATGATAACGCAAGGGGAGCAGGAAAGGGGGAAGAGAGGGATAAAAGCTCTTGCACAGGCTGTTTCAAAGCAAACCTTTGCTTCTGCATCATTACACCCCCTCCTCGCCCCCAAAAATGCGGCTGAGTCTGGGGATGCAGAGGGGGCTGGAAGCAGGGTGTTGACTGGGGGGACTCCCTTACTCATGTTCTCCTTACTCCTGATTTCCATGGAGCGCTGGAGGATGCGGCCGTAGGCGACGGGCAGGGTCAGGCAGGCGAGCAGCAGGCACAGGAGGCAGGTGGCCCCCAGCTTCATCCCCAGCACTTTCCGGCCGCAGTGGCTCAGTTCCGAAGTCTCCTGGCCCCCGGCGCTTCACGCCACAAAGACGGCGGCCTCCGATGCGGCTGCGGGAGGGAAGGGATTTGGCTGTTGATGTGTGTCCCTATCACAGCATCCCTGGGCAAGCAGCGATGCAAAGGGCTCGGGAGAACTGGATCAGAACCCGGGGGTTTTGCTGGGGCTGATACCTTTTGGGAAAGTATACCCTCCAAACACGAGTTGTGCAAACCTGATATTCATTAAAACAGGTTTTGGTCCCAGCCTAGTGCCTTAGGTCAGGCCTGACATAGTTCATCGTTTCTTCTCTGGGACCCCCGGTGCACCAGGGGACCCCACAGCCTGGGTGATGGGGAGAGGAGCCGCCACCAAAGTGCAGGACTGGCTGCACCAGTCAAAGGCTGCAGAGCCTCAAATGAGGTTTGCTGCTGGATGCTGGGGGATGGATGAATGGACCACGGTCACCTCTGCACCCTGGGCACCCACCCCTGGACCCGGCTGCCGAAATGGAAACCCAGGAACACCCTGTAACCTGCTCCAGGGCACTGAGGTGATGAGCAGGAGCGTGCACGGCTGAGCGATGGGCTTGATTTCTGCCAGGGCGAGGGGGGCAGAAGCGGGAGAGCTGGGTGAGGCAGGGCGCGGCGCGGGTGTGGCGGCAGCTTCAATTCCAAAGACTTTTGCAAAGGAAAAGTTTGCAGCGTGCTGAGCAGGAGGCAGATTGGGCTCCTGCGAGCTCAGGTTTGCTGCGGGCACCAAATTTTTGGAACCCCCCAGTCCGGTTGGACAGGCGCAAGGACAGACACACGGGGATGCAAAGCAGAGCTCAAAAGCATCACGAGAGGGAGAAAAAAGCGTGGCTCCCGCCGCCGGGGCTGCACTTACCGTGGCGTGGCGAGGCGAGGTGCCCGGCTGCCGTCCCGCTGAACCAAGTGGCTGCTGTCTGAGCCGGAGTCCCCTCCGGCCGCTGTTTTTATGGCCGGTTTCGTGCTGATGTCAGAGGCGAGTCCTGGCAGGGACCGAGCCGGGGCATCTCCCCTCCCCGCTGTCCCCTCTCATCAAATCAGCACAGGGATTTTCATGACTCAGAAGGGACCAGCATTTTATCTTCCGCTGGCTGAGGGAGATAGTTTGGGAATATGTTAATCCCTGTCCTCGATCCAGGGTCATTTTGGACAAGGGGAAGTTTTTTGGTCCATCACCCCCCAGCGCGCACCGCGGGGAGGGGGAGGGTCTGTGGTTCATGCTGCCCTCAAAGCTGAGTTACCAGTGCAACTCCACCACAGGATTCACACTGGGTACCTTTCTCCATCACTTTCCCTCCCCCAAAAAAGCTGCTTTAAGAAAACCTGAACATTAAATACAGAGAAGAGGGGAAGGCAACTTGCTGGGGCACACAGGCTGTCAGAAATGGGTTTGTCCTCGTGGCATGAGGGCTTCAAATCCCCTGCTTTCCCTTCCTTCCCCCCCCCCCCTTTTTAAATGGGTTTAAAAGATGTCTGACTATGTTTGTTCTGCTGGATGTGACACTGAAGGAGCCATCTCGTGTCCTGAGCACAGAGGGTTTAGTTGGTATTCCCAGGCAAAACTGGGACCAGAGACATCCCGAAACAAGGACATATTTATGTTGGCAGGATGGTGAAGACACCATCACTAGTGGGGTGAGGGCAGGGGGCAGGTCTCTGTCTGCCACCCCCACGTGGGGCTGGCATTGCCCTGGGACAGGTCTCCATCTCATATGGTTGTCAGCTCCAATGCCTGAGCACAGCGGTGTTGGGGACAGGTGACAGGAGCAGCAAGGGACACAGGGTGATTGTGACAGAGGTGTTGCAAAGGCAGGGAAAGGGGTAAAGAGATATAAACCCCCCACGTTTCAGCCATGGAAACCCACACCCCGGGCTCAGCAGGTCTCTCTCTACCCCAGGGTTGCTGCTATTATTTAATACAGATTTAAAGCAACCCCTCAAAGTGGGCTTTTGTGTCTTGTGGCTTCAGCTGCCAGATTTGATTCAGGGTGTCCATTCAAGTTGGAGCAGTGCATTTATTTCAGGATCAACCTCTCCTTACCCCCACCCTGTGCATCCCCTTTGCCCACCTGGCTTCACCATTGGGTACCACTGACCCACAGTCTTCACACCTGTGGCTCTGTGACCAGTATCTGACTATTCATATTGCCATCCTGATCAGAACCATCTGCCTCTGTTCTCCTTCAGTGCTGCTGATTCAATTCCTGTCTGCTTCACCTGGCTAGTTTTAAAGCAAGGACTGCACAGGTTGGTTAAAGGAAAGGATGGATGCTGGAGTGAGTCCAGAGGAGGCCACAAATATGCTCCAAGGGCTGGAGGCCCTCTGCTCTGGAGACAGGCTGAGAGAGCTGGGGGTGTTCAGCCAGGAAAAGAGAAGGCTCTGGGGAGACCGGAGAGTCCCTTCCAGTGCCTAAAGGGGCTCCAGGAGAGCTGGAGGGGGACTTTGGACAAGGGCCTGGAGTGACAGGACAAGGGGGAATGGCTTCCCACTGCCAGAGGGCAGGGTTAGATGGGATATTGGGAAGGAATTCTTCCCTGTGAGGGTGGTGAGGCCCTGGCACAGGTCGCCCAGAGAAGCTGTGGCTGCCCCATCCCTTAAAGTGTTCAAGACCAGGTTGGACGGGGCTTGGAGGAACCTGGTCCAGTGGCAGGTGTCCCTGCCCATGGCAGGGGCATGGAATGAGATGAGTTTTAAGATCCCTTCCAACCCACACCATTCTGTGATTCTATGGAAAGAAAGAGGAACCTTTGCTTGAGTGAGCTAAAAGAACAGACACAGGAAAATGGGTGGATAGTTCTGGACACAAAAT